TCCCGGGACCAAGCTGGTCCCGGGAATCATAGAATCATAGAATACTAGGACTGGAAGGGACCTCGAGAGGTCATCGAGTCCAGACCCCTGCCCTAATGGCAGGACCAAATACTGTCTAGACCATCCCTGATAGACATTTATCTAACCTACTCTTAAATATCGCCACAGATGGAGATTCCACAACCTCCCTGGGCAATTTATTCCAGTGTGTGACTATCCTGACAGTTAGGAACTTTTTCCTAATGTCCAACCTAAACTTCCCTTGCTGCGGTTTAAGCCAATTGCTTCTTGTTCTATCCTCAGAGGCCAAGATGAACAAGTTTTCTCCCCACTTCTTATGACACCCTTTTAGATACCTGAAAACTGTTATCATGTCCCCCCTCAATCTTCTCTTTTCTAAACTAAACAAACCCAATTCTTTCAGCCTTCCTTCATAGGTCATGTTCTCTAGACCTTTAATCATTCTTGTTACTCTTCTCTGGACCCCCTCCAATTTCTCCACATCTTTCTTGAAATGTGGTACCCAGAAGTGGGTATAATTCTACAGTACTCCTTCCTGGGACAGTCGCTTCCCATCTGTATGTATGAAACTGATTGTTCTCTCCTAAGAGGAGCACTTGGCATTTGTCTTTATTATACTTCATCCTATTTACCTCAGACCATTTCTCCAATTTGTCCAGGTCATTTTGAATTATTACCCTATCCTCCAGATTAGTCGCAACCCCTCCAAGCTTGGGATCACCTGCAAACTTAATAAGCATGCTTTCTATGCCTATATCTAAATCGTTGATGAAGATATTGAACAGAGCCGGTCCCAAAACAGACCTCTGTGGAACCCCACTTGTTTGCCTTTCCAGCAGGATTGTGAACCATTAATAACTACTCTCTGAGTATGGTTATCCAGCCAGTTATGCACCCACCTTATAGTAGCCCCATCTATGTTTTATTTGCCTAGTTTATTGATAAGATGGGGTTCCATAACTGGGATGGAGCAATAGCTGGCACACACTTCCCTATTTTTGCATCAGACCAACTTGCCACAGAATATATCAAAAGAAAGCTATCAGATTGGTTTGACATGATTTGTTCTTCACAAATTCATGCTGGCTGTTCCCTATCACTTTGCCACCTTCCAAGTGTTTACAGATGATTTCCTTAATTACTTGCTTCATTATCTTCCCTGGCACAGAAGTTAATCTAACTAGTCTGCAGTTTCCTGGGTTGTTCTTATTTCCTTCTTTATAGATGGGCACTATAATTGCCCTTTTCCAGTCCTCTGGAATCTCTCCTGTCTCCCTTGATTGTCCAAAGATGATAGCTAGAGGCTCAGATACCTCCTCTATCCGCTCCTTGAGTATTCTAGGATATATTTCATCAGCCCCTGGTGACTTGCAGGCATCTAACTTTTCTAGGTGATTTTTGACTTGTTCTTTTTTTATTTTACCTTCTAAAACTACCCCCTTCCCATTAGCATTCACTATGTTAGGCATTCCTACAGACTTCTTGGTGAAGACCGAAACAAAGAAGTCATTGAGCCATTTCCAAGTTTCCTGTTACTGTTTTTCCCTCCTCACTGACCAGTGGGCCTACCCTGTCCTTCGTCTTCCTCTTGCTTCTAATGTATTTATAAATAGTCTTCTTGTTTCCCTTTATTCCCGTAGCTAGTTTGAGCTCATTCTGTGCCTTTGCCTTTCTAATCTTGCCCCTGCATTCCTGTGCTGTTTGGCTATATTCATCTGTTGTAATTTGTCCCACTTTCCATTTTTTATAGGACTCCTTTTTTATTTTTAGATCATGCAAGATCTCGTGGTTAAGCCAAGGCGGTCTTTTGCTGTATTTTCTATCTTTCTGACACATCAGAATAGCTTGCTCTTGGGCCCTTAACAATGTCCCTTTGAAAAACTGCCAACTCCCCTCAGTTGTTTTTCCCCTCAGTCTCGATTCCCATGGGACCTTACCTATCAGCTCTCTGAGCTTACCAAAATCTGCCTTCCTGATATTGCTTGTTTGGACTGCCTTCTGTTTGCACAAAATGATGCCAAGTCATGATCATTTGTACCTAAGAAACCATTAATCTTTAATTCTATGAAATAATTCCTCAATAATTAAGTCAGTCTAATATAGAATTCCCCCAAGTTCAACGCAACACTTTTTGAATAAGGAGATTATTGTTAGCAAGTAAATAAATAACCTTGCAAGTAAATACACAATCTCTTTATATAATGTATGTTTATTTACATATACACACATTCATGCTAAGTATTACATTTATGTTGTTTGCAGAACTATGGATTGTACAATAACTATTGTTTTTCAAATGGACATGCATTGAAACCTGAAGAATCCTACTACATGTTTCAGAAAATAATTACTGAAAAGTTATCCCTAATGTATTTGCATTATTGTTTAGTTCTTTTACATATCATTCAGGACTTCATGGTCTTAGCATGGGAACCAGAAATTACTCCTCAGGACACGGGTAACTTTCTTGGCAAAGGGGTCAAACTCAAATTGCCGTGATCCACGCAAGAAATAGAAAAATCCTGGGAATAAAAACAATACAAATTACCACATTGCACAAATAAATATTATGCCTTTACAACAAAGATTGGAAAGGGCTAGAAAAAGAGTATTTGAGTCACCCACTCTAGCAATTTACTGAATATATCTATCTAAATAATATCCAATCTGACATAGGGTCATTATTCTCAGCACAGTAACATTACTCTTTTAGGGTCAGACTGTGATAACTTTATTTGTGTTGAGTAATACCTTACTTCACAAGTGGTACCGCTAACTTCAGTAGAACTACTTGTGGTGTAAGGTGCAATTCAACATGAATAAGTGTATCCCAATCAGACCCTTCCTAGTACTGGATTTTTCATAGCACTGTGCAAATATTAATGGATTTTCAACAGACCCTGGGAGGTATTTTTATCCCAATAGTATAGGTAGATTAACTGAAGCACACAAGGATTATAAAATTTATCCAGGCCACAGAGGAAATCTCAGCACCCAGATTAGCCTGAAAACATTTCTGAGCCTTAATCCTATGCATCCCATCTAACCACGCCTATTATAATGTCTGAACCATTGAATGTCATGTTTTCTTACTTCAGAGTGTCCACTTACCTTTATGCTGGAAAGCAGCATCCAACTTCCCATTAATTCCTGGAAATTCATCTCTTATCAGCGTTGTCTTTTTGTCCATGGACTGTCTTCTTTCATCATAACTGAGGAAAATTAAAAACAATAAGAAGAAAATTAAAAATGAAGCCAAATGGCATGTTAGCCAGTCTCTCTCTTTACAGAGAGTCTATTAATAGTGAACTAAGCTCACTGAACACTTAGCTAAATCAGATCCATAGTTAATATAAATCAGAGGTAGGAAAACCTAAGGCCCGGGGGCCGGATAGGCCCCTGGGTTGCTTGAATCTGGCCCCTGAGGCTTTGGGTTCCCACAGCAATGGGGAGCCCATGCTGGCACTCCAGCCCCGCTGCTACCTTCCTGCAGTCCCTGGTCCCCACCTGATTTTTCTGTGGGTCAGCGGACCTCAATCCAAAAATGGATCCCCTGTCCCTGATATAAATCAACACCTCCAACAATTTCACTGGAGTTACACCAAATTACCAGCTAAGGAGCTAGCCCCCTGTGTTAATTATAGGTACATCTTTGAATATTATTACTGATCTGCAAAACACTTATTATTTCTCTGTCTAATAGGCAGGATGTGGAAGAGTGAATTATCATCTTCTGTATGGGAAACAGGATAGCACGATATTATCCTTAGAAACATATCATTGGCATGTTCCCTGACCGTGAGAAATGTTTATCAGGAGAACTCTGCATTTTGTGGGATCGTTGTTACATCACAGCAATTGATCTGCCATGTGGCTACCATCACACAGTCTATCGCAAAAGGGTTTGCTGTTATAATTTTATTCAGTACAGAAAATAAATCACAAGCATGTCCAAACAAGATAAATGAAGCTTTCCAACCAGGGAGTTTTAGTAGCAGAGGATCCGATTGAACCCTTTATTCACACTGTACAGTTTACAAACTGTAACAAATCTGCAATCTGTACCTAAATAGCTCTCCGGATCTGAGCAATTGTCACTTCACAGTAATCACTAAGCTGCATGCCATGGCCACTCAGAAGGATTCCACAGTGATACAACTACAAGTCACATCATAGTGCTCCCCATGTATAAGTTGCCCATAATTTGTGCTAAGAGAGAATCTCCTTTAACTGTGAGAAATATATGGGCTATGACACAAAGCTGAGCAATGTTGATTGTGTCCAATACAGGGAATGATAAACACACTCACTGGCCAGTTCATCACAATACATAGCATATGTTTTGTGGTATAATAATGCCATCTGTTGGTAATAGGGCAGAGGAATTGGGGATAATAATCTGTACTTTTTTTTAACGCCAAGAAAAGGTTTTGATGAAAGCATGGTGCACACTTATGGCTCAGTATAATTAGGAATTATTGTTTGTTTTAAAATGTGCAGTAAAAAAGCTTTGGATGGCTTTTTTTTCTAGATGTAAGTAAAATAATTTAAGCAAAACAAGCATCTTTGAGAGAACGGTTTCACCTACCTTTAAAAATATTATTTTTCTCCAGACAGTGGTGACGGTGTGAGAGACTGGTAGCCAGTTTGCTACTAAAGCATCATAAGGCAAATTAAAGGTACAGCTATTGGCAATGTGGCTTTGTTTGTTCATGCTCAAGAATGTGATTATGAAATCTTACCTCCAAAACTTGTAAGACACAAAGTAGTATGTTTTTCTTGTATTTGCATTATAAAGAGCTGCATCAATTTTCTTCACACCCTTTGGGAAGCCCAAGACACTGATTTTCTTTGGGTATCCAGATAATAGAGTATCTCCTTTGACAACCCAGAATTCATTTCCTATCATGAAAAGTTGTTGAAAACATTTTGCCAGGAATTTCTATTGAGAATTATATAGCATTTAAGTAGGGTCTTTAGCTGTATACTAAAATCAAACCAAGCTGACAAATGTAGAGATCAGAACATGCGCATTCCTTGTTATACACTAGTCCTTCCTGTGGCCAGCACCTTCTGTTGAACTTTAAACACACCTGGCAAAACCCATCCCTCATATAACTCTTCTGAATGCTACGGATGAATTTGAACTACCATCTTTAATTTTGACACATAGTTCTGCACAAACAAGTACCATTTCACATTGTCGTGGATAGAGCTAGATTTGTTAAGGATATTTAGCTTCATTAATATTAAGCAAATAAGTTATGTGCATTTTGATGCTGAGTGCGTTTTTGTTAGCAATGTAATTTACAAAACAACACCAATAAATTGGATTAGATCAGAGTTAATGAACTCCCATTAAAAGAATACACAGTTCAGTTTCCTTAATGATTTTCAGAGACAGGTAAATTTCATTCATGGCACATGTAAGAAGGATATAGAGAGAAATTCAAATTCTTACCTTTAAAAAGATATGTCTCGTCTTTGTCCATAATTTCATAGGCAGCATCAACACCAGACGGTAGATGTGACCACAATGAAGATATTAAATCGAAGTCAACTTCTTTGGTTGTAGGATGTTTGTGCCAGAAGTACCTGATCCAAAGATAGTACAACATGCATATTAAATCATATCTTTGTAGGTAACAACATGTGAGATTCTAACCATTGCAAGAAGAGTTTTCAGTTACTACAGCTCAGTGAATATTTTATCTTGACACACACATGAATTCCATTGCCCCCAAATCATGTCTTCTATGCATTTCCTTAGCTTTTTTACTTTTAAGTTATGTAGAGCTAAAAACTATCTTTGCCACTGAGGTTAGAGAGGGCTCCCTGACAATGGAACAAGAGCAGTTCTGCTACACAACAGGGAAATGGGGCTCAGTTCTGCTGCGTACCACTGTGTAAGGGAGGTGGAGCAGTTGGGTGGCACAAGAAGATTCCTACTTCCTCAAAGTTCCTCCTCAATATCTACTCCACATACTGATGCTAAGCTCTGGGCTTAGAGTTTTCCCCAAGAGAGTTTATTATGGGATAAAAATATGGATTTCAGAAAAAGCAGATTTCACAATACTTATTTGCCTGCTCTCCTGGCACTAGTATATTTTGAACATGAGAATGCAACATTAAAAACTTCTTTAGACTGTGAAGTTTTTACGGTGGAGCAATCTGCACCTTTATGCAGCACTGAACAAATGATAAAATATAAGAATAGTAATTGGCTTCATTATCCGAAATCATCATTGCAAAGGATGTATGTGTAGACTTGGTGTGTGGGGTGGCAATTTTTCAAAGTTTCCATGGCTGTAGTCAAAGATAAATGGCTAATTTCAGTGACCCAAGCAGTGGGTCCAGAGTCCAAACCAGAGTCCCTGAATTCTGAATGTTGGGATCTATTCTAATATAAAAAATTATCTGTATTTTTGAAGGCACTTGTTCTAAGTCTCCCATTAATTTTCTCTGAATTCCAGCCCTCACCTTTACTTTTCTTAATGCAACCAGATTTTTCTCTTTACCCACCAATACTTTCCTTTTTCCTTTTCCCAACTCCTCTTTCCTACCATACCATACCTCAAGTCACTACTAGGGCCAACTTTATCCCACTTTTCTCTCTTTGAGTCCCCAGATTACACAGTCTGTTCTTTTTAAGGCTTTGAGGGCACCCCAGTATTAGTGATTTTCCATGGAAGAATACTTCAGATTTGGCACACTTACTGATAATCTCTGGTCAGTTATTTTAATCAATGAATTGTCTTGGGAATACTGCAGAACCCAAGTAGCCAAGGAAAACCTGCCAGGGTTATAGGTGATGATAGAGTCAAGCATATAAAGGTCACAAGGAAGAGGTCAGAATTTTTCAACAGTTACCACAGTGTTATCCAGACTTTACAAGTTTTCTTCTATGATTAGAATGGGATCTATGCGTGGCAACTGTGTATTGTTGTTGTTATTATTATTAGAATTCATCATTTGCATGGTGGTAGTATCAAAGGCCCCTTTGTGCTAGGTGCTGCATAAATCCAGAAGAGAAAAATGCTTCCTGATCCAAAGAGCGTACAGTCTAAGGAAGTATCCCTTAATGTGCAGGCAAGTAGATCTATTGGCACTTGGGAAGAGAGACTGGTGTATTTATCTGAAGCTTTTTAAATATAACAAAAGGTATTGATTGGTTTGATTAACATACTGGACAAAATTTGGAATGTTTGTTATTTTTCCATACTGTATTGTGCCATTAAAGGAAGATTTGAGCAAAAGATGTGATGTTGCTTCAAGACAGTTAGCTTACTTGTCTTTAAAGAACATTATTTCTCCACGGAAAGAGGTGACAGCATCAAAAGTCAAATTAGGGCCACAAGGCTTTCGTGGTAGAGGCTCTGTTGGCTCCACTGGTTCTAAGGAGACAGTAGATTTGGGTGGCTCTTTTGGAGGCTTAGATGAAGGTCCTAGGGAAAACAGTTTAGAGAAGAAATTAAAATTATAATATGATATTACAAAATTCAGATAACTTCAGTGGATCTATCTTTTTATTTAGGCTATACTTAATGCAATTATTCAACATGGATTTCATTAAAAGCTATTTGAACTCATTGGAAGTGATGAACATTGAGTGATTAATACTGTTGGCTTACCATAGAGATATTGAATGCCAGTAATATCATCCTGATGAAGATGGAAAGTCCTGGAATCAAAGTATCTATAAACTGGATACATCAGTGAATTAGGGTATTTAGAGTGGGAGAGTCCCAGTGAATGGCCAAACTCATGGGCAGCCACGAAAAACAAGTTGGAACCTAAAACCAGCAAACAAAATGTTTAGCAGAAGGTAAAGTCTTTTCATCTTCTTTTTGGTTAATGTGAAATACAAGCCAAGATACTTCACTGAATAGAGGTTTTTAGTGCTTATAGTAAACTCAGTACAACAAAGTACTATGAAACTACACTAAAGTGCATCAAAAGTACAAAGGCGCAGTGCTTGTAGGTCCGATCCAGCACCCAACAACTCTACCAAACATCAATGTGGGTGAAGGAGGCCATATATTGTGATGCCTTGGAAAACTAAGCATCAAGTAGAATGGTTTTCAAAATATAAAGATCCTAATTTTGTTGGGAGCTGCTGGTTGTTCAGAACTTCTGAAAATCAGCCCACTCACTTAGGTATCTAACTATGGATTTTGGAGTCAAACTTTAAGTGTCTAGTTTTGAAAATCTTAGCTAGCCCAGGTGCGTAATAATTATTTTACATACCCTGTGAGCCTTTAGTCCAGTTTTCATCCTCATCAAAGTGAGCATCTCCACCAATACCATTGCCAGGGGCATAGGCATGAGCAACAGTTCCACCGGGACCATCAAAGGGATTGAAATCGTTGTGAACTAAGAGTGGAAGGAAGTGCAATCAAAGACTTTGAGTTTGCAATACTCCAGATTCCTCTTCCATGCAATTTTGACAATCCCATTATTTTTCACATGGAAAGCTGAAAAATGTGCAGTAGCTTGCATTTGCTATGAAATCCTCTTTAGCCAAAGAAATGGCCCGCCTTTTAAATATTGTTGTCATTGGTGGATATGGCTTTAGTTGAAAAATGGTCCATCTTTTCTAGTGGAAAATAGTCTCTTTTTGCTTATAAAGTAGCAAGGTCATGAATTTGCAACTAACTCAGTGGAGAAGACTGCTGTGCTTGCAAAAGGACCTCTTAAAGTCAGTGGCAGGAGCAATGCCTGAGTTTATAAGCTTTTCAGGGTAGAGCCTTTGGGTCACATTTTATAAAGCACTTAAGTGATTTAAAGGCTTAAGTAACTTTTGGAAATTGGATTTAGGCTTCTAAGTCAATTATGCCCTTAAGCACTCTTGCCCTTCCAGGTATATTGTAAATTTCCCAACACACCTTAGAATTATGAAAATAATAGACCCTAAAGTCTTCAGATCTTATGGTTAAAATGTCAATTGCTAGCTAAGAGCATACACAGTTGTTATATTGTACTTCTGTTCTAAGAATAAAGGGAAAGATATATATCAAACAGCAGTGTTGGGAAGTGCAGGATGTTTAATGATCAGGGCTGTTCACAACATTTTCCACAAAAAAATAAACCCGATTTGTTAGGGTGTGTCTAGACTACAGGGTTTTGTCGACAAAAGTGGACTTTTGTCGACAAAACTATACCTGCGTCTACACTACCGCTGAGTTCTGTCGACATCAGCGTCAGCAGTTTTGTCGACGCTGGTAAACCTCATTTTACAAGGCATAACGCCTTTTGTCGACAGAGTTCTGTCGACAGAAGATGTTATTGCATCTAGGGAACAGAACGGAATGTAGTCTAGACGCTGTTTGTCGACAGAAGTTTTGTCGACAGTATCTGTCGACAAAACTTCTGTCTACAAAAGCCTGTAGTTTAGACGTACCCTCTGTTTTTACTGAAAAGCAGAATTTTTTGACTTTCTGGTAGATCTGAAGACACTAAACAATTGGAAATGAAACAAAAATCTGTCAAAATGGAAGAGAGATTATGAAACAGGGGGAATAGGGTCAGGATTGGAGATGGGCATGAATGCAGGTACAATGGCTTAGTGGGAGGAGAAATGCAAAAGAAAGGAAGGAAATCAAAATATCAGTGAGCTTTTGTACAACTTGCATTTCTTGTCTCACAAGACAATCATGTGAGAAATAATCATAAGACCTTTATTGTTCCCTCCGCCTCCAATCTCAAATCCTCTGCTACTTTCTGTTCTCTTTATCTACTGCATCATGACTAATGTGGATCCTGCTACCTCCTATGAACATGATTAGTTAAACTCACATTAATATTATACAATGACCAGATCATCCCTTTCAAAGTAAAACACATAGAAGAGGGCTTTGGTGGGAGAAATCTCCTTGAGGATACACCCACATCATCCCAGAAAGGCGTGGAGTTTGCCTGGGGGGGGGGGGGGAGGGCGCCTGCCCCAAGCACTGATCTCTGTGCCCCCGATCTAGCAAAGTGTGTCAACCCATGCTTAACTTTAAGCATGTGAGTGACTTACATGGAACTATAGTCATGAGTAAAGTTATGAGTAAGACTCACAAGCTCTGATTCTGTACAGATGTCTGCCCAGGCTGAACATTGTACACTATACGTGTTCCCAAGGAATCAGACACCTGCAGACCTACATCTTTGCAGTATCAGGGCTTTAGGTTATAACTGTTTGGGGGGTGAGCACTTGTTTTTCTGTGATTGTACAATGCCTAGCATGATGGGGTTTCCGTCCTAAGACAACTATTAATAATGAATTCTAGGACAAATTTACTATGATTATATATAACTTTTTTACCTTTGGCCGCAAAGGAGATCAATATATCTGCATCACCGCTGTCAACCTGGGTAAATGTCAATGGGGTCACGTTGCTCCAGACTGTAAAAGCTTCCTTGATGTTTGCATCTACATCAGCTGGGGCCATATCTGGTGTATAGTTCAAAATCCTTTAAAATGTAACATAGAGAAACGTGTTCTTTACAATTTTCATCATCAGTTGCCTGGAGCAACTTGTTTCCCTTTAATTCAAGAAAAACCCTCTACTACTGAGTAGTTACCTGTATTTCAGATTTTTTTTCTTCCATTTTGGTTGTCCTGTAAAGGTGGAGAATTCAGCCACATCAGGGACTCCACACCGGGGTTTCTGAATCACCTCCAGAGTATTAGAATCCAATTTCCCAGTCACCTCTAATCCTATGAATTCCTGCATTTCTTTAATTTTGTTAACCACACCTTTATCACTTTTCCATCTTTTAACAGGCATCCTGTGTGACTTAAAGCTGTAGTAATTTTCTAGGTACTTCTGATGAAACACAAATAGATAGACGTTAGCTTCATTTTTTAGATCTTTTAAAATAATATTAAATATTCTGACATTATATCTACCTGTGCTTTATATTTTATCATAGGTAATGATTCAGACAAAATGAAGATCCTGATCCTGCAACCCCATGTGCATCACACTATCTTTATTCCCATGAGAAGCCCTAAGCGAGCCAATACAATTACTTGTGTGTAAAGTTATTTACATATTTAAATGCTTGCAGTATCAGGCCTTCAAAGTGCTGCCTGGCAAATTTCTACCATTCATGTTGACAGCACTGAATTATTCTTCAGAAATATCGCCTCACTTTAAGCATTGAACATCCATTAAAACAGCCCACAAGGAAACTTGTCCAAAACTTTTGAAACCAAGCACTCCCTTCAGGAAAAAGAAACAAGTTATATGCACCCTTTCACCCCAACATTTTAGAAGGGCAGCCTGAGAGAAATGTTTCACAGCCAGTGTGTCACACCTTTCCAGGTCGGCACACTTCTATTCTTTGGCAAATACTGAATCAGACTATTTATTCCATCAACTTACAGGGTCAGATTCTCAGCTAGCATAAATCAGCATAACTCTATTAATTTCAGTGGATGACTTATATTAGCTGAAGATCTGTTCCTTTGTGTCTACAATTGTTACCTGAACAAGCTTCATTTCTTCTTCCTCTTTCCTTTTTGGACTCATAGGTACAGCACAAGAGGCTGCACATAGTAACAGCAGAAGCAGAAAGTTCTTCATTCTTTCGTTTCTATGTCTTGTCTTTATAAAGATCTGTCTTTCCCTCTTCATACAAGTCTCTTGCTTATCCGTGTTTATATAGTACTTGGGCACTTCATAAAGTCAAATGTAGCCTGACTCACAGTTTAGAACAGCCTCCAATTAGCAACAGAAGATATACAAAAACTGCTTTAGGCATGAAAAGTTTAACAGCTTTCATGTGAGCCGCCTCCCATCCCACTTCATCTCATTGCAGATTTTCCAATCCTACAACGGGGTTAATGCTCAAGAGGGCCGAGATTCCTTTTCTTTATAAATGCACTGTTTCTTCCAGTACAAAAAATGTTATTTTAGCTACTTTAAAAATACAGCCTTGAGCTTCAGAATATTTATGAAAGTCTTTAAGCATCTGAACATTCCCATTAACTTCAAATCTCTCAGGTGCTCAAAGATAAGCTCAGATGTAAGTGTTTGCAGAACTGTGGCCTCTAAAAAGAGACATCATGAAACCTGGGCAGGTTCCAGTTTTTCTGTAGACAACTGAAACTAGTGTCTTCTGCAGCCACATGTATTTTGGGAGAAATCTCATTGTTAATCTGTACCATAATCTGCTCATTGTACCCACTGAAATAGTCCTTGTGCGTAAGGCACTCAAAGAGCAGTGCTGACCATTTGCATCCTTTCCAATTTATCTTTAATAAGGTTCATAACCTATTGGAACCATCCAGCCCTCCCTCTGCCCCTTGCTCCTGCCTGTACTACCAAGCAACCATCCCAAGTAGCAATTAAAACAGGAGTCTCAGGCCTAGTCAAGCTAAATTCAATGCAGGAGTTGGGGGTGGACTGAAGGTGCCACTGTTGTGACCCCACCTTAATTTTGAAGACAGCAAAAGAACAGAGCAGTTTCTGGAAAAAACTAGAACAGTCCTTAGGAGCTGCTCCATCTCACACTGTGTGGAAGATAGTACAGAAGAGCATGAGTTCAGCTCAACATGTCACTCCTTCAACATGTGCCCCCCATAATCAACTTCCACACCCCTGGTGCTCCCTTACACTGGGGGCTGTTAAGAGAGTGGTACAGGAATGGCTGGCTGACCTTACCCTACCAAAATCTCCCTTACAGAATCATAAAATCATAGAACACTAGAACTGTAAGGGACCTCGAGAGATCATCAAGTCTAGTCCCCTGTCCTCACGGCAGGACCAAGCACCGTCTAGATCATCCCTGATAGATGTCTATCCAACCCGTTCTTATATATCACCAGTGATGGAGATTCCACAACCTCCTAGGCAACTTATTCCAGTGTTTAACCACCTTGACAGTTAAGAAGTTTTTCCTAATGTCCAACCTAAACCTACCCTTGCTGCAATTTAAACCCACTGTTTCTTGTCCTATCATCAGAAACCAAGTAGAACAATTTTTCTCCCTCTTCCTTGTAAAGTGTACCCTATTGCTAACTTTTGCCCTCATATTATGTTCCTTACCCCCCCCGCCTTTTCTTTGTGCTGTCCATCACCAAACTAAAATCATGTGCTTTTCTTAATATGGTGTCTCGTATAGAAGCTTTCATAGCCACAGAGATGTTTTTGAGGCCTTGCCCATTGCGAGATTGAACCTAGCCTTGACCTCCGTAATGAGAATCAATTCTTCTTTCCCAGAGAATTGACTTGCTGATTGCTACACTCCCTTCCTCGGAGCTCCTCTCAGAATCATTTCATATCATTGTCTGGCTCTTGCCATGACATGGCTGGGACTCCCACCAGCAACATTGCCTTGGCCAGAACCCCTAGTAGCAACACCGGAAGAAGACATTGCCCTTCCATGGGCACAATGCTGAGTAGAGTTATCAAAATCTTGTCCTTTTCAACTGAGCATGTTTAAATGCTATTTAAAATTGCACAAATACAAACCTGAGAGGAAGAAAATAATAGTGGGGGTCCCATGCAGCTTGCTGACATGGCTTGCTGATGAAATAATGAGGATGGTTTGTTCTGAAAATGCTTCACACACCCAGCCCTGTTCTAGCCACAATGTACTCTGGCAACAATGTGGGAGCCACAGGCAAAAGTGTAAGAGTGAGGGCCCGAGGAGCTTTTGAGCAGTCCTAGCGGCATCTAAATGAGAGAGGTTTACATCTCCTGCCTAGCTACATAGTTTACTGCCAAACCCTGAGGCTGGTGTGTATAAATATGGAGCCATATGGATGTATCATGTTGTTGAACATGCCAGCTGCAGAGGGAGAGACATGTACACATAGGTGCCGACTCCGTAGATCCTCTGGGCTTGGGGCAAAGGATTGGAGTTAGGATGGGGCCTGGAGCAGGGGGGCAGATGAAGCACACTTACCCCGGCTGAAGGGGAAGTTGGTGCCCATGCATGTACCCCTTTTCTGATAGCTGCATAATGACAATTCATACGAATCAGATAGTCATTTTTTAATGGCAAGGCTTGCTGTCTTGCTTGGGCCTTCTGTGTGGCTCCAAGGTGGGTCTCACTTCCTTTTCAGCTTTGGGTGTATGTTCCTCCCCAAACCCTAATCTATCATAATTTCTTCCATGACAATATGGGTGCTGGATCAATTAACAACCCTTTGTGGAGGAATCACTTCCAGGTCAGACCTGATTAATTTGAAAATCTCCATGCACACATGTCTATCTAGAGAGGGAACTAAACCCTGACAGACTGGACAATGATGGTGCTGAATTTCCAAATCATCTGAAAAGTCATTTCTATTTTGAACATGCGAGAGAGTATTCTTGTCTTTAGCAGGTAGGTCAACATGACACCTCATCTGGAAATTGCCTGCTAGGAGCATTATAACTTTTGTTTCTCTTTCCTATGAAGCAACTCAGATTGGCCACTGCTATATACTGGACTAGACTGAACAATGGTCTGATTGTATATGGAAAATCTGAACCATGTATATGCATTTGTTACAGTAATAAGCAATGAGATACACTCTCACCGTGTGTGCATAATCAGGGCCTGATCCTAATCTGGATGCAGAGTTGCATTCCCTCTCAGTCTTCTCTTCTCCAGAGTAAAGAAGCCCAATTTTCGCAGTCTTCCCTCCTAGCTCAGATTGACCTGAGCTGTATTTAGATAAGAAGCCTGGAGGATATAGTCCATTGTTGTTCCTCTGAGCTATCAAATCTCCTGCCTCTGCCATCCCACACCTCATCTTTAGCAATGCTTTTATCTAAGGTTCTGCCAGTCCATTCTGCTTCGTTATAAAAGACACAGTGAAATTACAACAGTTCCGGTAATGCATGATGATAGGATCAGTTGTTTGGAATAATATTATAATGAATGGGGGTATGACTGTTCTCTAATGGACAGAATTATAACTGCTCAACTGTGTGCCATAGGCTCTGTGTAAAATAGTGCATATTATCAGGATATGCTTTACGAGCAACCATACCTGTGCCTTATCACCAGAGCACAGTGAAGTTGCAGGTGGTCACGGTGTTCATCATAGTACAACCAGTCAGGCTCCTAGATGATCATAGGTGCCTTAGAACTATGAACTCTTATGAAGCTAGGAGAAAACATCTAATGCTGTGCTGCTGCTGCTGCACCTTTTTCTTCTATCTCCTCCCCTTGAGATATTTCCCCTTGCTTCTCCTTTGGAGGCACCCATCTACTTCTGCCTCCCACTCTGCTTCTCATCCATAGCTATTGGAATCTCTCAAAGTCATCATATTGCCCAAAAGTTTGAGCTGGGAGTTCAGATAGTAGTGCAATTAAATTACATTCAGGGGACCCTTCTCTAGTGCTGCTGACCACAAAGACCATGAGTCTGGACCAAAAGAGACAAAGACTATTATATACACAAACATAAAATAATTTTATTGCTCAGTAACAAAGAGAGTAATAAATAGCATAAAAACAATAAGATATAAAACTATACATGATATTTAACAATTTCTGTCATTGAAATCATATTAATCAGGGAGCGCAGCTCTAATGAGACTCAAACATACAGTAAATGATGAATAATATAAATTAGAAACAAAAAAATGAAAAGCCATTTGTAACATTCAAAATTAGATTCTGTTTTGTTTGCACAACACATTGTGTGTCTGCTGTTATTAGCAATTAAACCAACTATTGCTCTTCATTTCACGAATAACTTTCTTGGACTTGGTGTCTATCTCATACTGCTTTGATCCATGGAAAAAATAGAAATATCCTAGAAATAAAAACAAAAAGAATAATTATTTTGTACAAATGTATATTCTTTCTCTTTCCATAAATACTGCTTAAAATTAAAATATGTACACATAAAATAAACACCTTTCTTAGTTTTTCAAATTTTTGACTATCTGGAAATGCAATTTTTCCAGTATATTCAACTATCTTTATGTATTTTTGCTATTTACCTTTTTCTTGAAAAGCAGCGTCAACCTTATGACCAATTCTTGGAAAGTCGACTGATATACGTCTTGGATAACCCTTTTCCATGGATTTGGTGACTTCATTATAGCTGAATGAAGAAATTACATGCAAGTAATACATAAGCATGTGGTATTTGATACTGAATCCAACTGACTTTTAGAACAAAGAAGCCTTGCCCTTAGCTAAAACTCACTATAAGCTACTGTAAAATCATTTAATTATCTAAATCCTTTCTAGGTATACTCCCACCTTTACTAATCTATGCACAGTCGTCCTTAGCTATTCTGACTAAAAAAATTGTTTTTCCTACTTTATAGCTCTCAGAGCAGCAGTGTGGGCCCCAAATGTACAACCCTGACATCTGGGCCCCATTCTACAAAGACATTTCTCTATAAGAATTTGTAGAATAGGGCACTGAAGAGCACTTAGTTATGTAATAGGACTTTTGGAGGCAGTGGGGCTTGGTTACAAAACCTGTCTATATTAAAAATATTTTAATTTTAGAAAGTGATTGAATGCAGATCCCCACTCCATGGGACAGCAGCATGCTGTAAAAGCCAGCTTTGATGGGGTATGTGTTGAAACAAGAGGAGGAGCTGATATTTCCACACTCACAGAGTTATTGGTGGCTATGGAGCTGATAGGAAATCCCACCCTTTTTTCCTGCTACTACAGGGATTCTCAAACTGGGGACTGGGATCTTCTCCGTGAAGTTATTACATAGGCGTGGGGGCAGTCACAAGTTCTCAACCTTCACGCCAAATCCTACTTTGCAGCCAACATATGTAAAAGGGTTTTAAGGAATAGGAAAATCCAAGTTCTAGCACTGCTGTCATTGAACTTCAGCTTGGCAATGGGATGTCAGCTATGAAATCCTACTCCAGGTGGCTGCAGATTTGTTATAATTCCAAATGCCAAGATTTAAATAGGCTTTTAAAGAAGCAGTGTGAATTATTTTCTGGGAGAACTCAAACTTACCTCCAATATTTGTCACCTACAAAGAAGTATGTTTTTTTGGTATTCTCATCATAAACAGCAGCATCAATTTTCTTAACATATGTTGGAAAGCCTAGTGTCTGGATGTTCCTAGGAAAACCTGGATGCATAGCGTATCCACTGACAACCCAGTACTTGTTGCCTGTCAAGAAAAACAAGATAGAAAAGCTCAATAGGGACTTTTGATCAAATTAAACAGCATTTTATTACAGTATCAAAGTTTCCCCAAGGAAGCTTATATTTTCCCTGTGGGGTTAATTCCTGTAGATAGCACTGCATTACTGTAAAGATACTTCTTTCCTGCAAAGCAGCTGGAATGTGTAAGGTTTCAGGACAGTTGGATTTTTTTTCTTTATACATTCATTAGAGTAGTTAAAAATTTTCTCTTGGGAGCTAGGAAGAGCTGAGCAGCTCTGAAAATCAGGCCACTTAGTTAGGTGCCTATGAAGTATATGAATTTAGCTGATTAAATGTAACCATGCCATTTTAAACACTTTAAAGCTCAAATATGTAACTAATTCTCTTGTCAGGTTAGAACACATCATTTAACTTCACTCTCTCAGTTTTATTAATTGTGAAATAGGCATTATATCTCATTTCACAGGGCTGTTGAGAGGTTTAATATGTTAATGACTAATGCAACAACCCTATGAAAGTGAATAGTTATGTAAGTGCTACATGGTATTGTTGTTATCATTAATAATAATAATAATAATAATTGCTCCTTCATTTCCATAGATAAGAAGAGTGCCCAGGAAATTAAGAGAAATACCTTTAAAAAGATGCACTTGATCCTTCTTCTCAATTTCATAAGCAGCCTGAATGCCAGATGGTAGAGTTGGCCAGAAGGCAGAAATTAAATCACGCTCAATGCCTGAGAAATGAGGACTCTTGCGCCAGACGTACCTGATTGAAAAGAAAGGTTGCATGCTTATATAATTATAGATGGCCCTTAATTCATGTGGTCACCAACAGAGAGAGATATAATACAAATTCCTACTATTTGAGCTCTACATTTGTTCACAGCTGCTGGTGACGGGAGCATGTCCTTTGGAAATGCAGTGCTATTCGCTAAAGCCCTCTTCAGTGCTACAGAGAAATCACCCTTCTATTTATTTGCAGTGGGGTTTGTCCCCTCTGCCCCTTTACCTCACCACTTCCCTCCCATTCCTTTGGTCCCCAGTAAGGCACAGGAAAGAGCTGAAATCCATCTATAATGCTGGGTCAGGAGGAATCATTTTGCCCACTTTTATTCCATCTTGCAACTGCAATGGGATCTTTAAATGACCCATTAAAGAGTTAAGTATCAGATCTCATCCAAAAGAAGGTACCTCTAACAGCAGCATGTCACCAAGCACTGTGACTGGAACCTTGGTTCAGTGCTGTCTGGAGGTTAAGAACATCACCTACTGAATCACTAGCAATACTTTCAATCATCTCTCTGTTTTCCCTTTGGATCTGCCCTCAGTAGCCTGACACTAGCCTGTCAAGAACAATGTTTCATGTGGTACCACTGCAGGCCAAAGTACACTGCTCTTATTGCCCAATCGCCATGGAAATCTGACAAACTATGCTCATGATGATGGAGAATGATTTAAAATACTAATATTTGCCCACCTATCAGAAAGCCCAGTGATTTGGCCCAGATTACATGGGCAAGTAGAAATTTGTGAGCCTGGCTTAATCAGACATTTGGAAGGCAATCTCCTCTCCTGAACTGATTGTTGAAGCATTGCCATTACAAGAGTACTCTAAGCAAAACTGGATGTTGATGAAACAAAAGTAACTCACTTGTCTTTAAAGAACATTAATTCCCCACGGAGTGTGGTGACGGCATCAAAAGTCAAGTGAGGGTCACAGCTGCCTGTTGCTGAAGTTTTTGTTGGTGTTTCTGAGGATGGTGTGGAACTTGTTGGCTCATTAGAGATTGGGGGTCCTTAGGAAAGAAGTTAAAGGCAGAAATGGAAGGTCAGCTAGTATTGCTTTTACAGAACTTGGAGAGCAGCAATATTGGGTCAAATTCTCAGACGGTTAAAAAACATGTTTTCCCGTGATATCTAGGCACTTATATGGCCACCATTTCCATATTATTTGTGCACTTCATAACCTTCAATGTATTTATCGTCAAAACATTCCTACAGGGTAGGACAGTGCTATTATTCCTGTTTTTACAGATGTGGGAACTGGGAGCACAAAGAGGATAAGTCACATAGATGCTCCATGACAGAACAAGGAATTGAACACGGGTTTCCAGAGTTCTATCCTAGTGTCCTCACCGCTGACTCTCCAAACTCGTCCATGACATTAATGGAGCTGTGTCAATTCACATCTGCTTAGGAGCAGACATAAGACTGTCATACGGTTTCATACAGAAAGATATTTCGACCTTTGGGATTAGTGATGTCCACAAAGCACTTGCTACTGTAGGGGATGCCTACTAGGCATGAGGAAGGGGTCCCACTATGTGCTCCTCTTCACAGCTGGCCAACCAAGCTGGCTTGTGCAGATAGAGTTAGCGAGCCATGGTCTTACCCTCACTTCTCATGCCTTTGGCTATAACTAGCACCCAAGAAGACACAAGAGGGAACACAGTCCCAATATAAAAGTAAGAAGGACTGAAAATACAGCTGTAAGGTCACAGGCTTCTTATCCCCTTTATAGCCCGTACAGGTAGGCCACAGCCTTAGTTACACATTCTCATCAAATGTTTGTAACCTATAGGAGAGAGACTTTAAGAAAAAGTGATGCTTTCTACTTACCATATAGGGACTGAATGCCATTAATATCATCCTGAGGTAGTCTGTAGTTTCTGATATCAGTTGGCAGATAGGTTGGATACATCAAGGAGCCGTAGACATTTGAATGACCAAGACCCAACGAGTGACCAAACTCATGAGCAGCAACAAGGAACAGGCTGTTTCCTAAAATATATATAAAAGCATAGCATGCATGTAGATTCAGTAAATATCCCCATAAAAAGCATAGTATACATGTAGCTTCAATAAATTTCCCCATAAAACAATAGGAAAGGACAGGCGAGGTCTCAGAGCAACAAGGAAGAGCAAACACAGTGCCTATTTTTAATAAAAGGAAACAAAAGGTATGTCTACACTGCATTAGAAACCTGGATCTGTGGGACCCAGGATTGTGAAGGCAGTTTCCAAGCACATGGTTAAATACCTACACTACTTTGTAAACCTGGGTTTACAATTGCGGGACCCAAGCCACACAGCCATGTTAGCACATCCATAGCACACAGTACACACATTCTGACTTTGGGCTGCAGCTTGAGCTATGTCCAGACTGTAAAATGACAGGGCTTGGATCCAGGTTACAGTAGAATTTAGTCTCTGAGGGTATGTCTACACTACCCCGCTAGTTCGAACTAGCGGGGTAGTGTAGACATACCCTGACGGGACCCAAGCCACACAGCCATGTTAGCACATCCATAGCACACAGTACACACATTCTGACTTTGGGCTGCAGCTTGAGCTATGTCCAGACTGTAAAATGACAGGGCTTGGATCCAGGTTACAGTAGAATTTAGTCTCTGAGGGTATGTCTACACTACCCCGCTAGTTCGAACTAGCGGGGTAGTGTAGACATACCCTGATTGCTAATGAAGCCCGGGATTTGAATTTCCCGGGCTTCATTAGCATAAGCGGGGAGCCGC